TATACCAAAGATATGAAACCTTGCACAGAGCATATGCCATTCTTGGAAAGAAACTGGCACGCTGTCTCTAGACTTTAATGTGGTCGGGGAGCACAGGGTGGTGTAATCATAGGCCAAGCTTCTACAACAGGAGCAGACAAGATTAATGGAGACCGGCTGAAGGGCAACCATAACTGCACACAGAAAAACAGACGGTAGTTGATGTTATGATTGATAGGAAAGAGTTTTTGACCATTGGAACTACAAGACCTGCATTCTAATAAAGGGACTCAAACTATCCTCATGCAGGAATGCTCTAAGAAAGAAAAATCTATTCTAATGTCCCTTAAAGTAATTAAGACTACTGACTTTTGATATAAGGAAATGCACATCAAACCTCACTTTTGCACGGAGAACATTTATTTCCAATGCATTCTTGTATGATACAGTAGTAGATTTATCACATCTTGGGAAATTTTTGCTAGGTCTTCAGGAATGTAAATCACAGGTGTCGCATCTAGCAAAGCATTTCACCACTCACTTTTCCTGTGAGAACGTAACGGATGCCTTTGATGGTGAGCTGCCCTCCCTCCACCCGATAGCCCCAGGGATGCAGCCAGTCATGGGGAAATCAAATTGTTGGCAGCTTGTTCATCTAGTGTAAGATAATGGGGAGTAGCTCAAAACTCAAAGCCCTGAGTTTCTGGCAGCTTCTGTTCTGCTCCACATGGGTGCTCTGTTTTCATAGCTCCCTGGCACTATTAGCTCAATGCTTTGATAGCACAATCTGGCCAAGAGAATCAGCCTGCTTGACTCCCCAAAGGCCAGTCCCTATCCACCATGCACTATGAAGTCTGGGCCTCAGAATCTGGCCCTTTCTATCTGGTGGGAGAGCAGTTAATGCTCCTGATCCCTTTCCTTGCTGCCTTAGAGCCTGGCCCCCGTTTGTTTGAGACCACAGACCTGCTTATGGCCCACTTGGATTAGCAGCCAGGTTTCCCAAGTGTCTTGTCAAGATTTGGCACTCACATCCGTGGGCTGCATGGGTGAAATGGATCTCAAATTCTGGTGATGTTACCACTTCTGAATTAGAATAATGCAAAATGAAGACAAATGGCTTGGTGAACAGTCCCGTTATTACCCGGGGAAAGCCTTGACATCCATTGCCACCTTGCACAAAATTTCCCACTGATCCGAATTCATTGTCTACCTCTATGCATAGATTGTAGCCTCAGGATTTAGTTATAAGAAACGCAAATAGATATAAAGATAGAAGATGAAAAGGACTCACCTGTGATACAGCACCTCCGGGGTGCTGAATCCATGCGCAGCCCCCTTCACATGAAGTGTTTTCAAACCACTAGTCTGGTACAGGGAAGAAAGCTGCATTGGCATTCAAACTGGCTTATGCATGGGTTAAAGGTAAAGGTAAAGGTACCCCTGCCCGTACGGGCTAGTCGTGACCGACTCTGGGGTTGCATGCTCATCTCGCTTAAGAGGCCGGGAGCCAGCACTGTCTGAAGACACTTCCGGGTCACATGGCCAGCGTGACAAAGCTGCTCTGGCGAGCCAGCACCAGCGCAGCGCACGGAAACGCTGTTTACCTTCCCGCTATAAAGCGGTACCTATTTATCTACTTGCACTTAGGGGTGCTTTCGAACTGCTAGGTGGGCAGGAGCTGGGACCGGACGACGGGAGCTCACCCTGCCGCGGGGATTAGAACCGCCGACCATACGATCAGCAAGTCCTAGGCACTGAGGTTTTACTCACAGCGCCACCCATTAAATGAGATGGAACTGGCATGAAAGTCTGCATGGGTAAATTATTTTTGTGAATTCTGCATCAGATGCAAATAAGTCCTTACACATTCTCACTGCTATTGTCATATAAGAGTTAAATAAAATAAGATAGACAGAGATACTCATGTTGATCGTTTGAAAGAACAGGTGTTTGAAAGAACAGGTCTGTTTCCCCACCTACTTAAAATGCAAACATCCGGGCTGAAGAGATGTTTACCCTTTCCTTCATATCTCTGCTCATGCTCCCTTGAAAGTCAGGGATCTATTGAATGCATTTGCCAACACTTATACTTTCGGTTAAGTGCTAATTAGCAATAGCTTATTAAAACCAATTATGTTGAGTTACCCGTGATTTTAATCACCCAGAAGTTGAGCATTCTATCCAAAACAGCTAGTCCTTATGCCTGAATACACAAAGCTTTCCCTGCAGGAATTTGCTTTTATATATCGTGGCAAATTAACAATGAAAAATTGAGATTAAGCTAACAAATTAGAACCTTTTCCAGCAAAGATTACAACCTCCTCTGGCTGAGCCAAAGCGCAGAATCTGAAGAAGGAATGGGTATAAGAGTATCATTACTAGACTTAGTATCAGTGCAACCTCAGCATAGTACTGCAAATTCTGTATGGGGGTGAGGAGATAAAAAAAATTAAAACCAATAATTGCATATTTTGTATGGTAGCAACCTATTTTTCCTTGCTTCTAGGCAATCCCCTTATGGACTATAGTTTCTTACTGGCAATCTAGTGACCTACTTGCCAGTGTGGTGTAGTGGTTAAGAGCGGTAGTCTCGTAATCTGGGAAACCGGGTTCGCGTCTCCGCTCCTCCACATGCAGCTGCTGGGTGACCTTGGGCCAGTCACACTTCTTTGAAGTCTCTCAGCCCCACTCACCTCACAGAGTGTTTGTTGTGGGGGAGGAAGGGACAGGAGATTGTTAGCCGCTTTGAGACTCCTTAAAGGGAGTGAAAGGCGGGATATCAAATCCAAACTCTTCTTCTTCTTCTTCTTCTTGCCTCTCAATTTCATTTTCCTTATCACTTCAGTTTTCCACATTTCCATATCAGTTTGCATTTTTAAAAGTCCATATGAAAATTTGTCAGCATTTTAGCGAAAATTTATTGTAATGTGCACATTTTTATATGTACTTTTGTCTTATATACACATTTTTGCAAAAAAATTCCCCTGATGAAAGGCATTTTTAATTGTTCAGTTCACTAATGTATTCATCTTTACACACACTTTACACCAAAATACACAATTTTGTCCATGTTACTTGACTGGAGAACTGCATTGCAAAATTCAGAGAAGTGCAGATTTTGGTGGATGGCTTTTTTTTCCAGTTTCTGTATTGTTTTGCAAACTGTCAGTTTGGTAGGTTTGCTTCTTAAAAGTGATATGAATTGAATCTCTCCTTTGCCTGTACTAGCAACAATGGGCCACCTAAGAGATACACTAATCTAGAAACTAGGCCCTGCAAGAAACTTGGGTGCTAGCTCTGTTCGCATATTTACTCAGGCAACACTATTACATAAGGGAACACCTGCGGTTACAGCGTGGCATTCTCCAAACTGGTGCCATCAAGAGGTTTTTAACAATTATAATGGGGAATCTAAAAATGGCTATAACTTTTATTTTATTTTATTTTCACAGAAGTAGCTGATATTTGCAGGCAAATGAGCTCCTCTACAGAGCTCCTCTGTAAGTCTGACAAATTTCAAGCAAATCCCTCCAAGGGTTTTGTGCAAGAAGCTTTTAAAAACATTTTTAAAAGAAGTCTCAAAGTTTCTAAATTTTCTTCCAGAATTTAATCCAAATTGCAGGCATGGTCAATGACACAATTTAACTCAGGAAGGTGAGATCATGATGTACCTCCTTATTTAAGATGCACACAAAACCAATGCACACCCCTAAGGTTTACAAATGTCTACACGCGTGTCTCTCTCTGCCTCTCATATATAAAATTAGTGTTCTTATCACATAATGGCTGTTAGCCATGATGACAATATTCAGTTAGCTGCTGGGAATCACCAGTAGGCAAGAGCTGTAGCAAGCAGGATGATGAACAAGGTGGATATTTGCTATTGTCCATCAGTTCTTACGTAATGGATGAGAATGTGAGTCTAGGATCGTGGGTAACTAATGGGGGAGGGAGTTATTTCTGTTCATGTAGCTTTTAGAATGGGTTGTGCCTTCTCTGTGCTTTTTTATTCTTTTACCCATGCTGCCAATTCTGGTTAATATGCACTGATATTGCGGTTCTCCATAAATTTGGAACCAAGGCTGCAACCATAAATCAAATTGCAAAATTTCAAGCTTGCAAAAATGAAAAGAAAAGAATTCTCTAGTAAACACAATGTCCTTGATTTTAATATGAATAAGATACATTACACTAATCACTGGACTTATTCTTACCCTTTGTTTCCTCCAAAATAGTTACTGAGGTCAGGGCTGCATTTAGCCAGCATAATTATGCCTGCAAAGAAACCAACTATTGTAACGGCCACAATTGCCCTGCAGTTATATCAGCAGAAAACCTTTTATTCTGGTCTAGCTTGAGGTTGAGCAAAATACCTTTGTGAATTTCAGTTTTGACACATGCAGGAAACTGGGATAAAATAGTCATTTCCCCACCTCTCCCTTTAAACATTTGCATGTAAATTTTATTAAGCAGATGCAAGTAGACCAGATTTACTGGGGACATTGGCACTGCTGTGTCTTTGTTTAAAAAAAGAAAGGAAGGGAAACAGCAGGTATTGGGGGCAGGGATTTCAATTAGGACTATGGTGCATGGGAACATAGGAGGTAAAAAAGGTAAAGGACCCCTGGATGGTTAAGTGCAATCAAATGCGACTATGGGGTTGCGGCGCTCATCTCGCTTTCAGGTCAAGGGAGCCGGCATTTGTCCACAGTCAGCTTTCTGGGTCATGTGGCCAGCATGACTAAACCTCTTCTGGTGCAACAGAACACCGTGATGGAAGTCAGAGCACACAGAAACACCATTTGCCTTCCCGCTGCAGCGGTACCTATTTATCTACTTGCACTGGTGTGCTTTCGAACTGCTAGGTCGGAAGGAGCTGGGACAGAGCAAGAGGAGCTCACTCTGTCACGGGGATTTGAACCGCTAACCTTCTGATCGGTAAGCCGAAGAGTCTCAGTGAAGAAGAAGAAGAGAAGAGTTTGGATTTGATATCCCGTTTTATCATAACCCGAAGGAGTCTCAAAGCGGCTAACATTCTCCTTTCCCTTCCTCCCCCACAACAAGCACTCTGTGAGGTGAGTGGGGCTGAGAGACTTCAAAGAAGTGTGACTAGCCCAAGGTCACCCAGCAGCTGCATGGGGAGGAGCAGAGACCCGAACCCGGTTCACCAGATTATGAGTCTACCGCTATTAACCACTACCACCACACTGGCTCTCGCTACCCTTGGGAACATAGGGTAGAGTAGAGTACTCCACAAGTAGAGTATTGAGACTACTTTCCTCCTGCATCATAGCCTCCACCCTGCCACAGTTTCTATTACCCTCAGGGGCACCAATGGGGGTGTTCCTACCTTAGCTTCTAGAAGCCAGGAGACAACAGTTGTTGGAAAATGTTCAGCTCCCCACCATATTGCATTCCCAAGAAAAATCACCTAGTACTAGAATCGGAGGCTAAGTGCTCTCATCAAAACAATGGAAATATTACAGTCTCACAGCTTTCCTCCAGGAATCTTGCCGCCTGTCGCTGGAAATGGTAGGCTAGTGAGCCTCCACAGACTCTATCTACTCAGGTCTCATAGTTGCCTTCAAGTGCTGAAGAGAACAGGTTGTTCAAAGTGATCCCTTGCAATTAATGATGGTATCTGTTTCTAGATTTGCCATGCCCGACAAAAGTATGGGCTGTCTACTTTTCTTTGGTCAGCAGGACAGCACTTTCCATTGGCTACACTTCAACCTCCAGATTCAATCTCAAGGTGTTGACTATGGTGACTCTGAGATGAAGTGCATATCCTCCAGATGTTGGATATACTCTGGGTACAACCCAACATGTCTATCGCCTGGTTCTGACAGGTAGGCAAGTTAACCTATGTTCCTTGGACCCTTCTCTCAAACACAGTTCATTGCCTTCACCAAGGCTACCTAGTAATAAGTGTTTTGAAGACAGCAAGCTAAGCATTCCTCAAATTATTATTTCTTTTGAATTTTTGTGTCTGAGCTCCAACCTGGTCTTAGAATTACTTACACTTCAGAACAACAGCATGATCCACCCCATTGATTTTCATTAGAAATGGTAAGTAACAAGCTTAACTTACCCACCTCACTGAAATGAATGGATTTAAGAGTGTGTGGCTGGATTATGCCCTTAAGTATATATTATTTTCATATCACTTTTTGCTACACAAATGGTTTTACAATTTTCTCAACTATGTGAGGTAGTGATATGCCCAAGACAATGATTTCCATGCCATTGAGACAGATAATAATTTATTGTAAGGAATACGTCATGCTGAAGTCAATTCACCGGCAAAAAATGTGGGTGGCTGCCCATTTTGATAAAAATATGACCAACTGTTTGGATTAGCATAAAGTAACTTGGGAAATTTCTTGTGTTGCTTACTTTCTGATGAGTAACAGCATGCAGCATTGCTAAGCTTGATTAAGCAAATTTAATTGGTTGTCCTTAATGCATTCTTGCAAATGTGAAATAGTCCATTTAAGTATGGCTGTTAATCTTTCAATAATTTGTAAGAAATAAAATAACTAACCATGAAGTATTAATCTAATGGTTCGCTTGAGGGACTGGCATTTTCTGTTGCTAAGAGTCATGTGTTTATAATGCTTATTCATTATGAACTGGGAAGTCCCATCTCGTGCATTTTATCTGTAAATAAATCCCATTGATTCCAATAGGATTTTCCTCCAAGTAATATGTATATATACTATTGCAACTTTACATCATGATTCATATCTGTTCAGGTACAGATGCAGCCACCTGCATGTAGAGGGATTGGCATAGGGTTCAATAGAGCTCTGTTCTTCTCTTCCCTTCACCTGCCCTGATAAGTATATGTCCTGATATGTGCATGCACTGGTTCATTAATGGGAACAGGAGAATCATACGCCTCCCACAATCATATCTGAACCTTAATACAGTCTTTGGAGGCCCTGCTCCAGATGTCTTTGTCAAGTGAAGTAGGTAGCTACCAAGAAGAGCAGTGACACGGGTGCTGCCAGCTTTTATGGTTCACTGAGGGGGCAGCCAGCCAATGCCCTTTCATCCAGCAAGGTAACACCAGCCGCCCGCATGAGTAGGCCTCTCGTTGGTCAATTTAAAGAGCAGGAGATGGCGGGACCTCCAGTCAGCTACCCAGGCAATCAGAGGAATTCCCCAATGACCACCTGGCCATGTTTGTTCTGGATATCTAAGGATGGCAACGGAGCGGCAGGATCCACAACAACTGCCCACCTGGAGGAAGGGGTAAGCATGCAAAGCACCATATAATTGGAGTACTGTGAATTTTGAAGGATAGCTGTGCTGCAGTTTGTGTTCTGGTTTTGGAAGTCATGAGAATTAGAGAGTTCACATTCAACTGTGAACTGAACAAATCCCCTTGCCCCCCCCCCAAATATGCTGGAACTTTTACACCTAGGAGTTTGTTGGGCTGACAGGTACTGCCATTACTGTATTATTTCCTGTGAGTAAAGGAAAGGGTATAGCTATGCTTGGACTATTTGTGGCCAGGGATTACAATTGACCAACTCTTCACATGGTTACAGATGCCATGGTGATATATTTGTTTACAGATTTCTGTGAATAAATTCTAGCATTTCTGTTTAAAAATGGCTGGGCAAAATGGACGAAACTCGCCTTCCAATATGTGCCTTTGCATAGAAGGCAGTGAGAGCCCTTCTCACACACCAATCTTCCCTGCAGGCTCCCACTGGGATGTCATGTAAGGTTGCCATATGTCCGGATTTTCCCAGACATGTCCGGGAACGGAATTACTGTCTGGGGGGATGGGAATTACTTTCACGAAAAAAGCTCAACATACGGCAACCCTAATCATGTTCAGATGTAGGCTTCATGTCCAGAAACTTATGCATGTAGCCCCAAAGGGCACATCTGATTATTTGGGGAAATAATCAAGTAATCAACCATGCAAAATTGCCCTACATATGTAGGCTGTGATAAGGTAAAAAGGTAAAGGACCCCTGAACGGTTAAGTCCAGTCAAAGGCGATGATGGGGTTGCGGCGCTCATCTTGCTTTCAGGCCAAGGGAGCCGGCGTTTGTCCATAGAGAGTTTTCTGGGTCATGTGGCCAGCATAATTAAACCACTACTGGTGTACGGAGGACCGTGACTAGTGCCGTTTACCTTCCCGCCACAGCAGTACCTATTTATCTACTTGCACTGGTGTGCTTTCGAGCTGCTAGGTTGTCAGGAGCTGGGACAGAGCAATGGGAGCTCACCCCGTAGAGGGAATTCAAATCGCTGACCTTCCAATCAGCAAGCCCAAGAGGCTCAGTGGTTTAGCAGAGGTGAGGCAAATAACCTGGCTAGGCTTTTGTGCGTGCGCACACACACACACACACACACACACACACACTCACTCCCCTCTCTGCAATGGACTAAGCTGAGAAGAAAGTATCATCCAATCCAGCTGTGCAGTGCACTGAGGGTGGATTGGTTCATTCTTCATCTGGCATTATGTACATTCCCTAATTGTGGATGGCCTTGATACAGAGAAAATGCTGAGTTTGTGTGTTAGATACAAAGATGCTTTGGGGGACCTCCTCAGCAGGGAAAACTAGTGCTGGTTTAACTACTAGGACCACAAACAATGTGCTAATTGCCAGGAGGCAGATCTGAAAGTTTCTTCTAATTAGAATGAATGGGTTTCCTTTTCAGCTTACTGTCAGGGTTTTCTTTGTTTTTAAATAAAGGCCTGAAAAGCTGTGGAAACCTTGTATGCACTGAATAATATGAGGTCCTCCAGCAGCAAAGCAACTCCAGCCAAGCCCAGGTAATGTCCTATTACCAAAACTAACTGTCAAGCTCTTTTTACTTTTAGTCTGTGAGCATGCTACGTACACAGCTTTGTTGAAGAGGGAGCATGAGAAGTCACATTAGTAGCAGGAAATCACATTTTATCTTACTGTGGATGTAAAGTCCCATCTCTTAGCTGGCAATAAAACATGAAAGTGTCCTTAAATGCTACAATCAGTTCTGTGTGTGATTGAAAGGGCATGTATAATGTTCCAAATAAAAGGATGGAACTGAAATTGCCATATTGAAAGCAGTTCTCCAAGTTGCAATGGAACCGCCTGGGTTTGCTTCTCTAATTACTTCCTGATGCAATGAACTTGGACAGGTTGTCCTGCTTCTGCTGCCCTATTTTAATCCAGCCAAAATGTCCACAAGTCTCCTATTGTTTGTGAAAACCTTGTTAACAAACACACACACACACATTTTGGGGCTCCGATACCAGAGTCTTCAGCACTTTCCATTGGGAAAGATTCCACTAGAAATAAGTAAATTTGGTCACCTAGGGTGCTTTCACAAATCAGATTTAAACTGGCTTTTGCGTCAACTGGTTTACAATACAAATGTATCCATCTATTTATAGAGAAATTTAATTAACTGCTTAATTAATAATAATAATAATAAATCTCCAAGTGGAATACAAATAAAAATATATGTAAAATATGACTAAAATCAACAAACCAAATAAAAATACATAAACCTGTTATTAGAAATAAAGATAAGATCAATAAAACTTTTAAAACATAACTAAATTGTGTATCCAGAGAGACTTGCTGAAACAAAAAGGTCTTCATTAGGCATCTTAACAACAACAACAACAACAACAATTTATTATTTATACCCCACCCATCTGTCTGGGTTTTCCCCACCACTCTGGGTGGCTCCCAACAGAATATTAAAAACACAATAAAACATCAAACTTTAAAAACTTCCCTAAACAAGGCTGCCTTCAGATGTCTTCTAAAAGTCAGATAGTTGTTCATTTCCTTAACACCTGACGGGAGGCTGTTCCACAGGGTGGACGCCACCACCGAGAAGGCCCTCTGCCTCGTTCCCTGCAACCTCACTTCTCGCAGTGAGGGAACTGTCAGAAGGCCCTCAGAGCTGGACCTCAGTGTCCAGGCTGAACAATGGGGGTGGAGATGCTCCTTCAAGTATTGTAGTGAGGGCGCCTGCCTATTGTCCATAGACAGGGAGTTTCAGAGCACAGGAATGACTTCTCAGAAATGCAGAATAGACATTATGTTGCACTTGTAATAGTGCAAGTTCTGCAGGTCAAAGTGATCAAACAGTATGGGGCAAGGCCTTATGAAAGGTGGTCCCAAGCATTATGGGCTTGATATACCTGAACTTGGCCTGGTAATAAATTGGCAGCCCGTGCAGAGATCTCTGAGCACAGGTGGAATATGCTGGCAAACTCTCACTCAGCAATTCTGCTGCGGCATTCTGCACTTTCTGTAGCTTCCATATCAACTGCAAGGAAAGTCCTGCATAGAGTGGGCTGCAGCAACCCTGCCTGGGCTAGCGTGATCAAGCTATCTTGGTTCAGGAATGGTCACAAGTGTCGTACCAGCAGGAGCTGGTGAGAGGTGCTCCATTGGCGGGAGCCAAAATGGGATATCCCAAGATACAATCAGAAGCTGGGATGGCTTCCATAATTCTGGAATGTCCCGCTCAGGTCGGGACACTTACTCTGTAGTAAGCTGGTTGAGTGCCCAAGCAAAATGTTCCAGCTTGTGAGCTTTGGAGCACTTTCTAGAAGATTTTCAGGGATTGCGTCCCTCAAACGTCTGAGGAGTATCCCTTGAACAGCCCTTTGAGTTCAAAGATAATTCCGGAACCTGTAATGTATGTGATGTAAACAACCAAAGGTGCTTTCATTACTGTAAAATGACATATGCTAAAACAGTACTAAGAAATTTATTTTTGGCCTTTTGTGAGTTTCCTTTTAGAAGTGGTGTTCTTCAGAATGTAAACTGCTGTAGTTATGCTCGTGGCAAGGGCAAAAAAACAAGATTTGTGCATGTGATGAGGCTTTTCTTATCCTTTCCCATGGAGCAAACTTACTCCTGCCTTCCATACACTATTGCATCACAGGCTCCATTTAAATCTCAGGAGAGCTTTATAACAACCTTGAAATGCGGTGCAGGAGGGAAAGAAAGGAGAGGAAATCTCCGCGTAGTTCATTGCACATACATAAAAGAGACTGCTGGATCATGGCTAATATCTTCATTAAGCAACAAAGCTCCCTTTACATTTCAAATCTACATGCGCCCATTTACAGAAGGAAACATTTGGCCAATCTGTTCAGGGAAATCAATAGCACTATAGCAAATGATCCCAAACACACCACATCCCTCTATTTCCTTCAGAATGTTTGATATTTGCATTTGTAGTGTATTTTTTTACAGTGCCCTTGAGCCACATATGTCTTACCACAAACACATTAAGGGTCAATCTACCTTGTCAAAGGTCAGCTCATGGCAATCTTCCTTTTCTGCTATTTTGGATGGGCAAGCATCATCATATTAATATTTGGTCAATGCTGTTTTTAAGCGCAGCACTCACCAGAATTCAAACGCTGAGTGGCACTAATGTTAATCTGTCCAGATATTTGCACCTCCCAACCTCCCTTTGGCCAGGCAGAGGGAACACTTCCAAGCTTTTCATTATAACTATTCCATTTGTATTTTTTCAGTCTGGTATGAGTACAAGTGAGATAATT